CTCCCCATCCCTCCAGTCAGTGATCCTAATCACCACCCTGTTGGCAGATCTGTCCTTGCCAATCCATTATCTTCAGGAAAAAGTCTTGAGTTCCCTAGGAGCACATCCAGAGTGCTCCCTTTTGCTTCAATTTTCTCTCCTGTTCATCTGTTCTGCATGCATCAGCCAATCCTTCTGCGATGAGGTCACTTTTCAGATGTTAACGTCCATATTCCTTGCATTTTCCTCTTTACAAGAAGTCAGCGGGCATGCCACTCGATCAGGGAAGTCTGCTGGTGAGATGAAAAGCAGAAGTTGTCTGCAAGACGTTTCCTTCTGCCTTTTATTTCCAAAACTGTAAAATTACCAAAGAACTCAAGAGGGAGAGCAGATGTACCTTTCAGGAAATCTTGGAAGAGAAGGCTTTCTCTGGAGTTAGGAGGGGAGGATCCTGTGCCCTCCTGTCTGGCAGCTCCGAGGGCAGGGTGGGGTGGGGAAAGAAACTTTAGAAAAGCAGCTTTGCTGTTTCTGGCTTTGTCATTTTCTGGGTCAAATGACAACCCGCATTTCCTGTGCCATCACTGTATACCCAGCTCTTTTTGTAAGGATATTCAACCAAGACTGAGACAAGAGTGACTCAAATCAGCTCTCACAGCTTGGAACTAGTGATGCTCCAGGACTCTGAAAGCTGTTTTTGGAAAGATATACTTTATTTTTAATTGACTCACAAGAGTGTAAATTTTTTACGTGACATAGCACGTCATTTCAATACATTTGGAAGAAGTGTAACGATTAAATCAAGAAAATTGGCACCAGGTGGTGGTGTCGCACACCTTTAATCCCAGCACTCGGGAGGCAGAGCCAGGTGGAGCTCTGTGAGTTCGAGGCCAGACTGGTCTACAGAGCAAGACTCAGGATAGGCACCAAAACTACACAGAGAAACCCTGTCTCAAAAAAAAGAAAAAAAAAAAAAGAAAAAGAAAACTGGCTTATCACTGAGATGTTTAGTTTCTTTGTCTTAGGAACATTCATAATGTCTACAGGTAATTTTAAATACACAATTAATTGATGTCAACCATAGGCATCCTCTGTGCCTTAGAACTCTAGAAGTTCTTTCTCCTATCCGGCTACACGTCTGTCCCTGTTAGCTCCCCTTCCTCTATCCCCATCTCCCACATACCCTTCACTACCACTAATGTCTGCTTACTCTCCAGTCCCAAAGAGATCAGCATCCGCTTTCAGGTGTAAATGAGAATGTCCCCAAACCTTTATTTTAACCCCCAGTTCCCATCACCTTCTCTCAGTGGCTCCTACTGCCCACCCCCAATCAATGACTCTTTTTTCTCAAGCCCATAGGTTGACCATGTAGAGGTAGCAATCATAGCTCTTCCTCGGTGCATACCAGGCAATCAGTGAACACCTATTGACCAATAAAGACGGATTTATTTTTCTAGGACTATGCTTGTCTAGGGGATCAGACAATCTCTCCTACTAAAAGGAAAAATACAAGGTTGCTGCCTGGCTTTAGGGACAGACCTGCCTGTGGTGGCAAGGGAATGAAGAAAAGACAGACAGACAGACAGAAATCTGGGACTGAGTGATCTGAGCTCTCAGTGGGAGAAACTGCATTACCCAGGAGGCTTGGCTTGTTTGCGACATACAGTTGAACTTGGAGGCAGGGTTATTTCCCACAGCTGAACAAAGAGGTGAGGTTATTACGTACACATAAACAAGGAGGCAGAGTCTATGGTGTACAGCCAGACAAAAGAGATAGGGTTAGTCTTCATAGAGAAGCCTCTGGAGCGGCGCAGTCAGTCTTCAAGCCCTGAACCTCTCAGGGAAGAAAGTTATGATGGATGTTTTCTATACACTGTCAGCATCCACACAGACACCAAAAGGGAAGGCTATCGATTTCCCTTGGGTCTGAGGCTAGCGTCCTGTATATAGCTGATCCCGTAACAACAACACACATTCACTCAGGACCTCACACACTCAGGGATTCCTCCACCCCCCACACAAGGCGAAACGTTTAAAATACATTCTGGAAAAGTCTATGAATTGGCAAGAAACTAAGAAGTGAAGTAGCACCAAGGTAGGATGAAGGCCAGAAGCCAAAGAGAGCAGAAAGTTTTCAGCGTTTGGCCTGAAGGGTATTTGCTAAACCTGGATTTGAACATTGCTTCCCGCAACTCTGTCTTAAAGGGCAGAAGGAAAAGATACCATATGCTCAATAGAAGACCAGTAAAAATGGATCTCCAGAAGCAAAATAAAAGAATGGGGAAAAATAATACGTTTTTTGCAAGCCCACTCCCAAACTTCACTAAAGTCGACACATGAGAGCTATAAAGCAGGTCTAGAAGCATTTGGAAAAATTTGAAGCACATCAATTAGAGTCTGTGACCATAATACAACTAAGACAAGATTTAATTTTTAAAATGTAACTAGCCTGGTAGCGCAGGGTTATAATCCCAGAATTGAGAGGGAGATCAAGAATTTGAGGCCTGCTTGGGTATAGAGTAAAACCTTATCTCAAATGATAATAAAAAATAATGAAAATTAAGTAAGAAAAGATAACTAGAAAAACTGACTAAGAAAGAAAGCTGTGGTCAAGAAACAAGCTGCATGGAAATATAGTAATGCTGCAATGTTATATATCGGATATTTGGTACTATATATTAAAGCTTCAGAAGCAAAAACTGAACAAGTAATTAATGAGAATTGTAAGAGAAACCTTTTGAAATGTAAAGAGCTTAAAGGCTAGAAAAAGAACAGCAAAACAAAGGCAAATAGAAGAAAGTAATTAAGGAAAAATAATAAAACTGGAAACAAACACACAGCAGAAACAATACCTGCCCAAGTTTGTTTATCTAAGACACATAAATTTACAATCCTTGTGGAAAACAATGAAGAGGAAAAAAAAGGAACACACCAGTGTAAAAACATAAAAACTATAATCACACACAATCTGGAAATTACAAAGAGAATGTTGTTTTTGTGCTAATGGATTTGAAAACTGAACAAGGAAGTCAGGACAGAGTCATAATCGTGCAAGAATATCTATCTACACCAGTAGCTATTTTCCAGAAGGAAACGTTCAACCTGAAACAGTTCTGCAAAGGCTTTTGGTCAAACGCTGGACTGGGAAGAAATCAGTCTCATACAAGCTATCCCAGAGGGTAGGATAGGTGGCTTCTTTCCCAGTTCGTTTCATGAAGCGAGTGTAGCATTCACACTAAAACCTGATGAGGAGAGCATGAAAAAGAAAAAAATCAAGTCCAATCTCACTCAGATACAGATGCAAAACGCCTGAATGACATTTTAGCATTTTCAACCTGGCGAAATAAGATATCATAACCAAACCTACTACAAGTTGGGCTACAATGAGAAAACCAATTAATGTAATTCACCACATTAAAGAATTGGTGATGATCTGAACAGAAGCAGACATTCATTATCCACCCAGACCAAGTTCCCAGAAGGCTAGGAATGCTCTTTGTTTGTTTTGTAGCACAGGCTCTCACTTTGACACCCTGGCCAGTCTGGATCTTTCTATGTAGACCAGACTAGCTTCACAGGGATCCACCTGCCTCTGCCTCCCTGAGTGCTAGGATTAAAGACAATTGCCACCACATCTCTCAGGAATGCTTTTCTTGAAGAAGGGTATTTATAGAAACCTTCAGAAAATATCACAGGTCACCCTTTCCTTCGAAACTGAGCACAAGTGTGGTGTTTGCTGCATTTTTGCTCAGTATTGTATGAGGACCAAAGCAGTAGAGTGAGGTAAGAAGTAAAATATATCCAAATTAGCCAGGGGAAAATTACAAGGATGTGATGGAGTATGCAAATAGTCAAAAGAATATTAAAATAGTGAGCAGAGTGTAAACCTTTATAATGTTGCTGGATGTCAGAGTCAACATACTAAATCATTAGCATTTAAAAACAATGGCAATAAATAGGAAGTTTTTGTTGTTGTTTTGTGTTTTTAAAGTATATTACTATATTATATTATATATAAATCATATAAAATATATATTTAATATATATAATATATCTATAATATATAATATATATTATATATAATATATATATTTAAACTATATTACTATTCTCTGAGACAAATGGCCACCATGCAAAGGTTCGTCACAGTTGGGTTTGTTGACGGTTGACATTCCCTCATGGCAGGAAGGACAGAGAAGGTCATGGAACCCTCACCCAGGCATCCAGCCATGCCTCTCAAACAGTTGTATGGAATTCTGCTCAAATTTGACATGGCTTTGGGAAGGGGCTGGAATATATAGGGAAGGAAAAACTAGGGGAGAGGACCTCTATCATCAAAGTTAGTGGGAGTCATCTCCCATGGTATGTGCAGACCTGGTGTGGCTGCTTTAAACCACCCACATTCCTGACCATAACCCCCTGCTCATAGCTCTGTAAATAAGTCTAAGAAACTCATCATCGGTTTCCCTGAGTGAATGGGGAATTGTACCTTAGCTTGTTGTTGGGAGCTCCAGGAGGAGGAGTTAGACATTGTTTAAATTTTCTCTAGGGAAGAAATTTTAGCCACAGATCTATTTAGAATGATATCAAGGAAGAAGGTGCCAAGAGACGAATCTAACAGAACACATGCCTGACCTTTATAAAGATCGTTCTAAGATCTCACTAAAGATCATGAAGAAGAACAAATGAGAGGAATAATGTGTATGCACATCTGCGTGTCTGTGTGTATAGGTTAAAGGTGCTGGGTGAAAAGGAAAGACTTCAAGCTTGGCAAACACTCTGCCACTGAGCTACACGCCCTGCCCTTGAGCTTAGGAAACCGAGTTTTTTCTTTTCTATCTCAGACTAGCCTTGAAGTCATGATTTCCTGCTTCTGTCTCCTGAGTGATGGCGTTAAAGACACGTATCATTATACCCAGCTGGAAATAACAGACAGAAAGATCTCTATAATTAACCTACGGAGTCAATGCAATTACATAGAGGCCCATTCTCCAAGAAATTCTTAAAGAACATAAAAGTAAGAATTACCGTGTAGCTATCAAAACTTTAATAAGGAGGCGGGATGGTATTGGTACAGGGATAGACAGAAAGATGAAATGCTTTAGTGTCAAGGAAGGGGAGTGAGAAAGGATAATGGGGACTGAATTTGACCAAAGTACATGACTTACATGCGTGAAAACGTCATAAGGTCATAACGTCAAACGTCATAAATCTATTGTTTTGTACAACGATAATACACTAATAAACGCAATAGAAATGTCCACGACAAACTTGTGGGTCACCACCCCTTTGGCAAACCTCTGTCTCCAAAAGTATTTACATTATGGTTCATAACAGTCGCAAAATCACAGCTACGACATGGCAAAGTATTTTATGGTTGGAGGGGGTCACCGCCACATGAGGAACTGTATTAGAGGGTTGCAGCGTTCAGAAGGTTGAGAACCACTGGTCTAGAGTGAGGCTCAGCGGGATAGCGGAGCCTTCCACATGTGGATGTTGATAATATATGCAGAAAAAAATGCCCACCATAGCTTCTTGTCCACTCCCCCATATTCTGGTCTGAAGACTGTTCCTGCCAAGATTGGCTAAACTTGTCTCCTTGGCCCGGTGTTATACCATAAGCTCTGCCTCCTTCTTTATCTGTATGCAATAACCCCGCCACCTTGTTCAGCTGTATACAATAACCCCACTCTGTTCAACTGTATATAAAATACGCCCTGAGCTTCTGGGTGCTGAGGCGTCTCCATCAGTCCCGTCCCAGGCTTCAGTGTGTCTAAGTGTTTGTCTTTTTTCCCCTCCCTCACTCCTGGGTGGTTTGAATGAGAATGGCTCCTGCTGGGGGCTCATTTGTTTGAATACTTGGTTCCCAGCTGGTAAACAATTCGGGAAGAATTAGCAGGTGTGGCCTTGTGGCCTTGTTCAAGGAGGTGTGTCACTAGGTGCGGAATTTGAGCTTCCAGAGGACAGGCCACCTTTTTCCAGTGTGCTCACTGCCTCGTCCTTGCAGATCCAGATGTGAGCTCTCAGCTGTTTCTGCCGCCATGCCTTTGCTCTGCCGTCATGGACTCACCCTCTGAAAATGTAAACCGAATTAAATGCTTTCTTTTATGAGTTGCCTTGGTCATGGCGTTTTATCCCAGCAACTGAAACATAAGTTAACTGAAGTTAGTACCAGGAAGTGGGCTAGTGCTGTGACAGACCTTACTATGTTGGTTTGTAGAGGAACATGGAAGACTTTGGGACTTTGGACTAGCAAAGTGGCTGAACACTGTAAGAGCTTAGCAGGCCATCCTAGTAGGAGATGAGAAGACAGTATGGCATAATGCTGAGGGCAACATGGACTATGGAGGCCCACCTCAAGAGGTTTAGAGGGGAACCATATTAGCAATTGAACTAGAGACCACTTGGGATATTCTGGTAAAGATATGGCTGATTTCTACCGTTGTCCTAATAATTTGCCTGAGGCTAAACTGAAAAGTAATGGACTAATTTCTTTGGTGGTGGAGATTTGAAGACAGCCTGATGCCGACTCTGTTGCTTGATTATTAGTAATCACTCTTATGAAGCTCTGTAATGAAAAAGAGCAAGTAGAGCAAATAGAAACACAGCATACATAGTTTAAAGAGAAAAACAGCACAAGGAAGTTTAACATTGGAGCCAAGGCTTGTGCTGAAAGTTAAGGAGAGACCTGATCAAAAATGGAATAAAGAGAGGGGTACCATCAGGGCGAGACCCCACTCAGCTAAACCTCCAACCTGTGAAAGGAAAAGGCCTAAGGAATTTTCTGCTTCTGAAAAGCAGCAACAAATCAAAGCAGCTACAAATGAGATTCATGAGTGCCAGGGCTCACACCAAGTTGGTATTCAAACACGGCAGTGTCACCCACATGGTTCTGACTTTTAAGCTATGAATGATACACAAGTAAAGGGGTTGTAGAATCTTTCTCTGTGGTTAAGGAGAGCCACTGAGACTAGGCGTATGACAGGGAGGTGCCTGCATGGAGTTTCCAAGAGGCCATTGCATAAAGCTATGAAAGGGAAGCCTGGATTCTATTGGAGACCCCAAGATGTTAGAGGTGTCAGAGCCCTGGGATATCTGCCAATGCGAGTCATACACATGGCGTGGAACCAGCTGGCTCCCCTCACATTGTAGTATTTTAGAAAACAGTCTGGTATTTCCTAGATAGAAAGTTGACAGTCCACATCCACAAGCTGTTTCCAGAGCTAGATTCCTGCCCTGGGGGTTAACTGCACAAGCGTACACAAAGACGCACATAATAATATGGCAGGATTTCTCGTAATTGCAAGGAGCAACCCATTATGGTGGGACTTTCGACTGTTGTATTATCACACAGCCAAGCACTACTGGATTACCTCAGCATGGATAAATCTGGAAAATACAATCTTGAGCAAGCAAGCATCAAAAGGTTAGCATTTCATTCTGCCAATTCTCTTCCATGATACACTGTTTAAGGATAAAAGCCAAGACAATAAACACCAGAAAGAAGAACAAGGAAATAAATAACAACTTTCAGGGAAAAGGCCTGTAATCCCAGCCCTTGGGAGGAAAGATGAAAAATCAAGGGTTCAAGAACAGCCTCAGCTACGCTGTGAATTTGAGGTCAGCCTAATCTACATGAGACCCTGTCTCAACAAACAAACATAAATAAATAAATTTCAAGAAAGGACTGCCTGAGAAACAAGAGGTTGTCGAAATCTCAGAGGGGCACACAGAGTACCTCTGTACCAGTCATGTGCTACTGCTTACACTGTGCAGTATTGCATATTTATTTCACAATAAAAATTTAGGATAATTGAAAGACAGAAAAACAAGTTAAATCAGTACATCTCTATTTGTTAAGTTATTGTGTACTTATAAGCTTTGCTAGTATCACTTAAGACAAAATCAGATTATTTAAGAATTTCCCTAACACCTTGCAAGAAATGACTTCTTTTTTAACAGGGTGTTATACAATTTGTTTTGTAAGAAACCCTTCTAAATGATGAGGCAAGAGTTGTGTAAAATGGGTCAGACAGGCAAAAAAGAGATAGCTGAAGCACGGGAGCTCTTTTAACAGGTCACCCAGAATTGACATTGCACATCTCCAGGGCACTGCATGTAGGTCTCTCTCGTTTGTTTCTCCATGCTCGGAGAGTAGAACCCCACAGCATCGGTTATGCTAGTCAAGTGCATTACTACTGAGCTACGTTTTCGGCTCCCTTAGTTTTCTTTCATTTTACTTATGTATTTATTATTATTATTGTTATTATTATTATTTGGTTTTTCGAGACAGGGTTTCTCTGTGTAGTTTTGGTGCCTGTCCTGGAGCTCACTCTGTAGACCAGGTTGGCCTCGAATTCACAGAGATCCGCCTGGCTCTGCCTCCGAGTACTGGGATTAAAGGCGTGTGCCACCACCGCCCGGCTTTACTTATTTATTTTTAAATTATTTTATTTTATGTGTTTGGTTGTTTTGTCTGAATGCATGTCTGTTCATCATGTGTAATGCCTGATACTCATGGAGGTCAGAAGAGGGCATTAGGAGTTACAAAGGATTGTAAGCCACTATGTATGTGCTGGGAATCAAACCCAGGTCCTCTGGAAGAGTGGTAAATGCTCTTAACCACTGAGCCATCTCTCTAGCTCTACCTATTTGCTTTTGAGATAGGGTTTCCTATGTAGCCCAGGCTGGCCTTGAAGCCACTATATATTCGAGTCTTGGAACTCATGATCTTCCTGCCTCAGCCTCTAACTGCTGGATTTAGACCTTGCTTCGTTTGCTTTCTTTTAGAATGATGGTTATAATTCTTTGTCCTGGAAACTTCCACCCTTCTGGTTATTCCATGAGCTTTCTTATTTTCATTGGCATCTTCCACCAGCTCATAAAATTGCAGCCCCCCAGAGACCAATGTGTTAGAATCATTGCTGGCTTGGAAATCTCTACGGCTGGCCATCTTGTCTAGCTGAATCCCTGGGGGGCATGTCTGAGGCAACTTACACCATAACCAGCAGTTAGGACTGCTGCCCTACCCAGTAGACAGATCTATCTATGGAAGGCTGAGCTGGAATCTCTCAAAAAACCACTATTCGGAGTACCCACTGCCTCCCACAATTTTCAACTAGCCAGTTTAGAAAAAAAAAAAAAAAAAAACGTGTGCTAGCAATTTTGTCTAAGAAGGATTTGGGCATCAGAGCCTTGGTGACTAATCTGGGCCCTGTTCTAAGTTACTTCATACTACGTATAACAGTATCTTTCATGCTGTCCCTTGCCCTGGGTGACTCCATTTTGGGTATAAATGCTGAGGTAGAATGACTCAGCATCTCATTGTGACGCTGCCAGGAACCAGCCACTATCTGCCCAGAATAGACCATTAGGTCCAGACTGATAACTTATTTACGTAAATAAAATATTACTGCCAGTGGCTTTATGAAATTAAGTCAGGAAGACATGGATATATGGGCTTATCAGAATCATATCACAAAAGACAGGCCCATAAGCTTATCAAGTGTACCAGAAATAACTCCTTCACCTAGGGCTATAAAAGAAGGAGTACCCCAGAGCTGAGTCATGGCAGCATTTTGACCCATCACCCAGTCACTCATCATAAGTCTTGGCCAGGAAAATTCTGCAACCAAGGACCTCTGCCTCCGTTCCTGGGCTCCAGCTCAAATTCAGTTTCTCCTCCTCAAGACATTTAGCCCACTTCATATTGCCTACTACCTGGACGTCACAACCTTGTGCCCTGAACAGTTCTGTGTCTATGGTTCTTCAAGCTTCCTAGCTGGTCCTATTCAGAGGCTTTTCCTTGTGAATGTCATTAGTTCATCCCTATAATTAACACCCCCCACCCCCGCTCTGTGTGTGTGTGTGTGTGTGTGTGTGTGTGTGTGAATATACTGCTCACTGAAAAAATAATTCAAACTGTATTTTTTCAAATGAAGTAACTACTTGATAATATAGATAATATTTAGTCCTTGTTAATAGAAACTGACACTTGCTCATGAGGAGCCCTGTGTGGTTTTTTCTGCTCCTTGGCAGTTAAATGTTTGTGTTTACATAATCCAACGATTGATAACAAAAATCATTTTATCAGCTAAAGAGGAATAGGCATTTTGAACGGCACTCACCTCAGAAGGAGTCTGCCCACAGCATGTGTGGAGGCTTTCAGGGATCCAGCTGTAGCGCAGCCATGATTCTGAGGTTGGCTAGAAAACTCTGATTGTGAGTCTTAACTGTCCTGCCCTTCCAGACGGCCTGTATCAGTGGCTAACGTCTTCGTTTCTTTTCAAAACAGCTCCTAATTTGAATGGAATGCCTGGGCTGTTGCAAATTGTGTTTAAGAATGTGCTGTGAGAAGATGGACATCTGGTCTCTTAAACTCTCCTTAAGAAACCTCCAGAACCTCCCTTTCCTCCTCCACAGAGCTGAGGTGCACACTGACCAGGAGAGAGGCTGTGTTGTCTCAGGGTAGTGGTTCCTCTTTGGCACTTGAGTGGTTCCCTCGTCTTCTGCCTGCCTCTCCCTCCTCACTTCTGTCTCATGAACGTGCTTCTTACCCATGACTCTCCCCTCTCTTTCCTTTATATTTCTCTAAATGGCTTATTAATGTTAGACAGATGTCTCCAGACAGAGGAGGGGCAGAGATGGCTTTGGAGGTGATTTTCTACTCGGTTGGCTTTTACCTCCCTTGCTAAGAGACGTTTTTGTTGTTACTATCCCCTGGAGTTCAGGAGATAACTTTGTAGCCGTTTTACAGTCCTGTGTGAGTAGTACCGGATTAGTGAATCTACGTGGCACCCCCTGAGCTAATTAATTAGCTGTTCACCACCCACAAACTTTTATGAGGAAAGAGACCACTTTTGAGCCCAGGGATGGCCCACTTGCTTGGTTAGCATCGACATCTAGGCAGAGAATTAGTCCAGATTCGTCCCAGAGAGCTTGGAAAGAAGGATAGGGGACAGCTGGGTGGGGGGATCCCAAGTGAGTCCTCGTTGAACAGCTGCTGTCCCCAGCTCTGTACCAGCAAACAGCACCTCCTGCTCCCACAGCATCCTCCCCTCCAAGGCTCGGTTCACAAGATACTCAGGCTTTGTTCTTGCCTAGAAAGGAAAAGTACAAACGGGAGGGGCAAGGAGGACCAGGATAAGAAAGCCCAGGCTGGCTGGCTAAAAAAATATTCTTAGATTTAGGCAGAGGAGGAGGACCTTCCCCAAGGCTGAAGGTATCTCCATCCAATAAGCACCTTCTTTCCCAAACTTTATATGTCGAGCATTTTCTTTATATCTCTGGAATTTTTCTGTGATCTGGTGCCAGAAAACACAGCTCTGTCTATCAACAGTCCAGAAACAGATGAAGCCTGGGAAGGAAGCTTCTGGAACGATCATACAAAAGACTCAGAAGGGCATGTGGAATTTGCAGAGGAAGGCTCCTTCCTCATTTTGTCCTCTGGTTAGAGTCTAAACTTAGGTCCCATATAAACAAGTGTGCAAGGCATGAAAAGCTCTTTGTGCTGGGCCAGCATCTCCTCCCTCCTCCATTTTTAGCGTCCCCGAGGACATTTTCTGTTGCTCCTGTTTGGGGTTTGGAGATAGAGCTCCTGAGAAGACAGGCCCTGGCTTCAGATTGGCTTGTCAACTCACTCCTGGGTTGTGCCCAGTGAAAACTCCTGATGATGTCTGCTGAAATGGATTTGAAGGCATTGGGGATAAATGAGCTAGCGTTAGGAGCCAAGCATTCACACCAACACTTACAATCTCAATGACTGTTAGTCTGCCCTAGTTTGGAACTTCTAGAACAAAAAATGTTAGTACCATCCATTCGGTACCAAACCTATGTGGATTTTCAATTTCAGTTGTCTTTCCGCATACATGGCTGCTTTATCCAACTTATTTGAAACTTTCTCATGAACCAAAATATGTCCTTCAATTATTTCCAGCTCTGGTATAAGTTTAGGAAATAATGACAACAGTGATTATAAGTGCCTGTCCCTTCTGCTACTGCCTCTGCCACAAATATCTGTTGTATTTCTGGAATGTTGTCAGTCGTGGAAGGGTAACTACTGAGACACACACATACACCACACACATACACTCACATGCATACATGCAAACACACATACACCACACACACACACACACACCACACACATAATACACACACATATACCACACACACACCACACACATAATACACACACATATACCACACACACACCACACACACACACACACACACACACGTATACTACACTCACATATACACATATACACACACATACACACATGCACACACACATACACCACACACACACCACACACATATGCACACACACACATACACCACACATACCCCCCACACTCACACATACACATATACACACACATACACTATACACACACACCACACACATATACACACACTTATACCACACATACACAAACACACACACACACACACACACACACACACACACACACACACACGTCAGTCTCCACCCTTTTCCCTATGTATACCCCACAAACTCAGGGCTAACAGGAGCCTTCCCTGGGCCCTCACTCAGATCTGAAAGATCGTACCAGCCTGCATATGCTGATTCATGCTCGGCCTTCAGGCTGCACTGCTTAGAAAGCTTGCCCCTCGTGAAGCGCCATACACCATCTTGTTTATTTTGTGGGTCTCTCCTGCAAGGCTGCGCAGGTCATTAAGACAGCATCTTGTCTCATTTGCTCACCACTGTTCCTCCAGCATACAGTTCAGTATCTGGCATTTACCACTCAGTGAACATTTATTAGTTCAATAACCCAAAACCTAAAATCTCAGTGTGCTTTCACTTCTGAGCTAAAATCAATGCCGATTATACAGAATAAATCAGTAGCTTGTTGCTAAGGGCCTTATGTTTTTACAAAAGGACTCAAGACAGGTTTCAAAAATAATTGTTTCCCTTGCAAAGATTTCTTTTGTATCTCAGATGTTGCTCAGGAACATGGCCACAGTATCACCTGAGGTGAAGAACATCTTACTTACACATACAGTATTTAATTTACAGCAACTGCTAATGACAACACTATGTCTTCTAAATCGTGGGCACTTCTAATTAAAGCTTTCCTTGTCTCATTTCATTGAAATCAGCCATAAAACAGCAAGGCGGATCAATAAACAGCAGTGGTCTTTCTTGTAAGCCCGGCCTCGAGTCATAAATCATGTTGGGCCTTTAGTCTGCTGTGGTTAGTGGTTGTGAGCCTACATCAATCTGATGAAGGAGGCAGGGAAGAGGGAGAAGAGCTCATGTACCTGCTCTGGATGGGCTGAGTGCTCATATATGAAAAAGAAAAACAGACTTACTCGGCCTTACATCTGTGTGTGTAGGAGGGCTGGAATGAAGCATTTAGAGGAGACAGAATTAGCACCCACAGGAGTATTCACTACTACAGGGGTAATGGGGTATGGAGGTAATTTCCAACCCACATTTCTCAAGGGGTGGTGTATCTATTACAGAAATGGGAACTATGGAAATCAGCATGAATTCTTTTTAAAAATTTTTAAATTTATTGTTATTTTATGTGCAGTGGTGTTTTGCCTACATGTATATCTATGTGAGGGTGTCAGAACCCCTGGTACTGGAGTTACAGACAGTTGTGAGCTGCCATGTGGGTGCTGGGAATTGAACCCAGGTCCTCTGAAAGAGCAGCCAGTGCTCTTAACCACTGAGCCATCTCTCCAGCCCTAGCAGGAAGGATTCTTTTGTTTTGTTTTGTTTGCGGGGGAGGGAGTTGTTTTTTTTTTTTTTTTTGAGACAGTGTTCCACTGTGTAGCCCTAGCTGTCCTGGAACTCACTCTGTAGACCAGGCTAGCCTCGAACTCACAGAAATTCACCTGCCTCTGCCTCCTGAGTGCTGGGATTAAGGGTGTGAGCCACCAATACCAATTGTGAAGGCTTCTTAAGAAAAACAAAACAAAAACCCCCCAAACAAACAAACAAACCAAGAAAGTAAGCTGCCCTAGACCCACCTATACCTCTCCGGGGCATATATATATATATATCCAGTGGTTCCGTATTCTACCACAGAGATACTTGCACATTCATGGCTGTTATACTCATAACGGCTAGGGAATGGACCTAGCTTGGATGCTCATCAACAGGTGAATGGGTAATAAAAATGTGTTACATATATGAATGGAGTTGTACTATCTGCAAGAAAAAGGAAATCACAACATCTGAAAGATAAAGTCCTCATGTTCTCCCATGTATATTTATGTGGGTGGAGCCTAAAGATCGAGACCAAAAGACGGTGAAGAGCGATGCAGAAGAGCGAGGAGAGACGGCTCAGCAGTTAAGAGAACCAGCTGCCCCTCCAGATGACCTGGCTTTTCCCCCCAGCATCCACATGCGGGCTCAACTGTCTGGAACTCCGGTCCTCTCTTTTAGCCTCATGGGGAACCGGGTATGCATCTGATACCTAAAACATACATGCGGGCAAAACACCCATCCATGTAAAATAAGTTACAAAATAAAATAAAAAGAGAGATGCTGAGGAAGAGGCGGTGGGGGGCGGGGCGGGGGAGGCACAAGGACACAAATGGCCTGAAAGCAGGAAAAAGATGAGGAGAGGATGGGGGTGAGGGGAATGAGATGGGGGAGGGGCGAAGCAGCACCTAAAACAAAACACACTTGAAAATGATGTGATGATACCCAAGACTCTGTATGCTAATAACTTTAAAATATGGGAGTGGAATTAATAGAAGCCCCTAAAAGGAAGAAAGAATAAGTAACATGGAATACTAAAAATAGGAACTACAAAGGTTTCCTTGAAAAGATTTACTTTTATTATTCTAAATCATGTCTCTGTGTGGGCTGTGGGCGAGTGCACATGAGTGCAGTGCTGGGGGAGGCCAGAAGCGTTGTATCCTGAGGAGCTTGAGTTACAGGGGCTATGAGCCATCAGATGTGGGTCCTGGGGAGCTCAGGACATCTGCAAGAGTAGTCTGTGCTCTTCACTTCCAAGCCCTCTCCCCAGCCTGGAACTATGCAATTTAATTAAATTAAAATAGTCGCACTTGGTCCATAAATTCCCAATTAAATAAAAGAGATTGTTGAGGAAGTTTTTCCTAAATTAAAAAAAAAACCTAAAATTTTGGAATTGGGGCCTATGTCAAAATTTTTATTTTACTTTATAATTCTGATAAGGATAAAATTAATTAATAGTTATAATAATAAATAGTATAGAATTTTCTAGGAATGCAACTAACCCAGGTTAAAAATCCTTATTTGTAAGGTAAACATCTCTTACAGTTTTAGTCTGTAATGTAAATAAAGTTGTATTTCCGGTTATTTCTCACTCACTCATTAATCTTTATGTTGGATCCGGTTAAGTCACCAGGTTCGTTTCCTTTTGATACACGCTGATGCAGACAGCAGCAGCTGAGTGTGTGGTATGACT